AGGACGCGCAGAGGCAGCTGCGACCCCGCCGAGTGGACGGTTGCACACCGCGCCACCTGCTGTGTGCGACCGTCTACTCGGCGGGGTCGCAGCTGCCTCTGGAAGGCACCGAGATGTACCTTTTTGCGCAAATGGTCAAATCAAGGTTTTGTAACGCGAGCTGTTCCACAGTGAAATGGAACTAGCCAAAAAGAATTCGTCGCGAGGACGCCTTGGGTTTTCTTTCTTTTCTTTCTTTACTGTCCTTGCACAGACAAAGCAAACACCCACCGGCATAACACGAACCGAGCTAGATAGGCACAGAGACATATGAGAGAACGCCGGCTCAGTCAGAACAAACAACACAAATCGAATGTCACCTTAGACAAAAACTCAAGGGAGGCACGCCAGAGAACGCGTGTAGGTGTGTGTCAGGGCTCCCCGAAGCCAAACTTGACCCACTTCCCCGCGTGCCCCGGCTTGGCATCCATGCCCGTCGCCGTGGCCACAGCGGCCCGCTCCGCGCTGTCCAGCCCGAGCAGAAACTCGATGTCGTCGAAGCCCTCGCAGTCAAACGCGGCGGCGTAGGACTGCAGCCCGATGCGCCCGAGCGCCTCGGCGACGGCCGCCATGCCGCCATTGTCGGGAGGCGCCTCCTTGTGGACGGTGCGGCCGTCGGGCAGGAGCTCGAACAAGCGGCTCGGAGGCAGGGAGGGCGCGGCAGGGGCAAAGGGGGAGGCGGCGGCGGCGGCGGCGGCGGGAGCGGAGGAAGGGGCGGTGGGCTCTAGCGCAGGCGCAGCGGCAGACTCGCGCGGGCGCTTCGCGGGGCGCGGCGGCGGCGCCGACCTCTCCTCCCTGACCGACCGCGCGTACGCCACCGCCGCCTCCACCGCCGTGCCGAAAGTGCCGATGTGTCTAGGCCTACCGTCCACCTTGCGCTGCGCTCGGAAGCCGCCAGAATTCTTCGATACGCCCCTGTACCCGGTGCTGCTGCTGCTGGAGAGGTGCAAGCGCATGCCCTCCGCCTCCGCCACCACCACCACTGCCGGCGCGTGAAGCGTGCAGAACCACGTCTTGCGCCCCGCCTCCGCCTCGCTCCTGAAGCCGGCGCACGCCAGGCAAGCCCAGCGCGAGCAGCCACCGGCGTCGCACCCGACGGAGGACGCCATCACCTCGCCCGCCTCGTCGTCGAGCAAAGTGCCGCACTCGCAGCAAATGGTGGCGGAGGTGGCGGAGCCGGCGGGGGCGG